AACGCCCCGCGAGGGAGAACCAGCGCACTAGGAGACGAAGTAGTAAAACGCAGTTCCCGCTGGAAGGAAGCGAGCACAAAAAGACCCACAATTCCGGACCCCGCGGCGGATGAGCTTCGTCGTGGCAGTGCCGCGGATAAAGATCGCCCTCCTGGTGCGCCAACGGGCGGTGACCGATTGAGCAACAGCAGGAAGTCTTCCGTTTCTGAGACGCGCAACTCAATGCGCCGGGAAGAGATCAAGCAGGGCATCCAGAACGTGCTCCGCGCCAGCTCGAAGGGGGGCGACGCGAAAGCGTTGTTTCGGGATTTGCGATCCAGCTACATCTACAAGGGCGGTAACGATGTCGAGGAAAAGGTGATGAATTCGGAATACGAGTTTCAGCCAGAAGACGAAGCGAGCCAACAGAGCGGAGGTGCATCAAGTAACGGTCTACTTGAGAACCGTACAACTATGCAACCCGCCAGTGGAAAAAGCAAAGTGAAGTCGAAAGGTCTGTCTCCTGAATCTTCTTCCGCGCAGGAGTTCGCTTCTCACCCGCCGGTCGTGATCCGTGCGACCCGAGCGTCTTCTCTTCGCGACAACTTCCTCTCCTCCGAACTCGAAACCAGACCGGACAGCGTGAAAACTTCCCTTCACGAAGAACATTTCCACTGGTTCGTGGGGAATCAGGAACGGAAAAAACAAAAGTCGCCCTACGCGTATCATTATGCATTGCAAAAGTATCGTACTAGTGGTAGTATGAATTGCGTCACAAATTCTACATCTACTCTCAAGTACAAAAGTGCATTACAATTTGTCATGCTACTTCGGGTAGAAAGTTGGGCTTGGGTTTGTAATGTATGACTGCAATCATTACGTACAAGTATGGTATTTTTGCAGTGCATCTCCACCCCCAGACGAAGAAGATGCACCAGTACGACGAGTTTTACCGGCATTATTCACAGAAAAAAACCCATCCACATCCAATTTGTCATGCAAAACCCGTATCAAATCATGTGTTTGTCATGCAAAAAACGGATGTGGATGAGTTTTTTTCTGTGCATACTCATAGTGGCGGTCACATCCTCCACCAGGAAGCGGGGTATTATTACCACAAGAACGTGGGCGATTCTGGGGTGCTTTTTTCCCCTCGGCGCGGGAGGTCGCCACCGCTATCAAATGTAGAAATGTCTGGGTCTGGAAACTTGTGATGCTGGGTGGCGTCTCATGATGAGGCCACAAATGCTGGCTCAACATGACAAGTTTCTGAGCTTCTAGGTGTTGCCTATTCTGCATGGCAAACTGCGTTTCTGCATCACAGAAAAATGGAGTTCTTGGGTAACGTGCATGACAGGTTTGAGAGTCATGCCAGACAAGCATGACAAACATGCATTCTTCCACCAGACCCAGACATTTTTGCATTTGATAACCGCCGAAAAGCGACAACTCGGTTCTGAGTAAGGACAACTGGTCTCGGGCGCACGAAACCTTCTACGACGGGGGAAAGGAGCATCAGAACCAACCCTGGAACAAAAGCACGAACGTGTACGGGTCGCTGCACAAGTTTTCCCGGGGGAAAAACAGTCCAAAGACTTTCGCACCGGACTACGTTGTGGCGAAAGTGGAAAAGAATCTGGAAGAGGAACGGGAGACGGCTATGTTGAGGGAGCAAATGAAGAGCATGATGCTGAAATCTACTTCGGGTAAGGATGATATAAACGAAGCCGGCTTTCTCGGTAGGGATTCTGCTGCGAAAAGTACAACAGAAGGTGCACTGGGGAGTGTCGGAAATGATGTTCAACATAATGCTGACGGCAATGTTGAATTTGAAAAACAGAGGACGGCAAAAGGAACAAAAGGGAACGCAGCCACAACGAAAGCCGTCAACATCAAAGCTCCTTCAAACAAGACTCCGATCATATCCCCTTTGAACGACAAAAACTTTACCTTCATCCCGCCGCAACGAACTGAAAAAGACAACCCAGTGCTGGAAAACCCGCCGAGGCTAACGAAACGGAACGTGAAAACGGGTATTGGCTTCACCGGCGGTATATGGATCGCAAAAATGTCTGGGTCTGGAAGGATGCGAACGCGTGATGCGCATTTCGCAACACGGACAGATCTCTCATGCATAGGCAGCAAAAGGTGCCCACTTCCTGTCACCAGAATGGGGGATTTGTCATGCGGATTAAGCAATGCAGAAGCTTCTCGAAATCTGTGATGCTAGGGCTTCCATGACAGACATTTGGTGTCATGCAAAAACAGCATGACAAAAATCTGCATTCTTCCAGACCCAGACATTTTTACATTTGATACGGTATCGATATTCACCATTCGCCCGCTTCCAGCAAACGAACCGCGTCACCCCCGGACAAGGAAAAAGTCGTCAGCGCGTCGCCGCCGCACACGTTTTCCGGGCTTCCGGTGCTGAGGGCAAAGAAGAAAAAGCCGCAGCTGCAGGCACGAAGCAGTATGAAATTTCAGGACTTTGACCACAATTTGCGGAAGCAGGTGAGTACCCCTTTGACCGATGAGAAGTTAAGACGGATTGCTGCCTCTTTACCGACGACTCCAATCAACAAACCGAAACTGAAACGCGGCAAGAGCCCTGCTCGCCCTGTCGCCGTGCAGACCGACTACTCCATGTCGCCGCGGTCCGTGATGATGCGCACGCAGTGGGAGAATTTGGGCGGCATGGACCTGCCCCCGGAGAAAGTGCTCCCGTTTGATAGAACCGCGTCCATGTTTATCGGCGCAAGGATGATGGAAGCGATGAAACATTACAACGCTGGTGGAGAAGATGGCTCAAGTAGACCGACAGAAATCTACACGTCCCAGAGGTTTCTGAAAGGCGCGGCGGGGCCGTCGCCAACGCACATCGCACCGGCGGCCTTCGGGAGGATGAGTCAGAAGCCGCTGGAGGGGAGGAAGATTATTGAGAGGAGCGAAAATGACGAAGTAGAGAAGGTGCAGGAGTTGGCGAGGATTACGATGCTGGAAAAGGCTCTGCTAGAGAAGGGGGAGAAGGATAGAGAAGCCGCAAGACTGACCAGCCCATTGTCGTCGGGGCTGCAGCAGCAGCCGACCTCGTTCGCCGACCAAGTCCGCAAGGATAAAAACGCTGGAGGAGAGCTGCAGGAAAACGAGAAGGCAAAAAAGCCGCCGAAAATCAAGACGGTCTTAGCCCCTTCACATGGCAGAACCTCTGGGGTTAGCGCGCTGGACGATTTCCTCTCCGACACGAGCGAACGGAGTTTCGGGAAGAAAAGGACCCCCAGGAAGAAACACGTGAAAGCGCCGGCGCACGGCCGGCCGACCGGCGTAGACCCCTTTGCGGTATTGGCGGGGGTACCCTCGTCCGGTGGGGGTGGGGAGGGGGAGGCGGCAGAGCATGAGGCCAACCCGTCTCCTGGGCGGCAAGGTATACTTGCTTTCTCCTGTAGTGTATTCACAAAAATGCTGTTTCAAAATAAATCTCGTATCAAAATAAATACAGTGATCCAAATTTGTAATAGCTCTTTTGTGAACCGGACGCGCCCACCGCACTGCCCGCAGTTTTGTTTATGCTCCGCGCTGAACAATCTCGGGGTCCATCACATTAGAGGCCGGGCGGGCCATTGTGGCCGCGGCTTGGGCTTGCTCCGTCATGCCTCAACCTGCCTTCAAGGCGGGCCAAGCATGTCGTCTCCACGCCTGGGGCATGCAGTCAGTGGTCGACGTACGTTGCTAGTCGCAACTGCGTCGTGGGACGCCGGAACTGCAAGTAGCAGTACGGCGCCCCTGGCGGCCTCGTCCGGTTCCCAAACCGGGCGTGGGAAAAACGCCAAAGTGGGGGTGCCTTAGTATCCCTGGAGCGGGCGGCCCGTAAACGGGACCCGACCCGGGTAGATCCTCGTGCAGGCCCCGACCTGCCGAGAAGAATCCCCGGAAGTGCCCGACTGGCACAGGACGTGTGGAAGTCCAACGTAGGCGTCTGACAAACGCCGGCAAAGGCTGACGGGGTCCCCCCTCCCCTCACCTGCGCCACTCAGGGTGAGCACAGCTCCCCGAAACCCCATTCCAGTGAGCCCCCACCCGCTCACACCGAGGCGTCTCTCCCTGTTGGAAGGGGAGGGGGCCTCGCTGTCACTAGAGTCACGCGCTTGGGTTAATCTCAAGATTGCTTCGCGCAACCAGGCGCGTGACTCAAAATTCCACGTGTAAAAGCGCCCCGGGCGCCGTGCGCCGCACGAAAAAAAGCGGCAAGGTAACGTGGGGCACCTCGCCCCACGGTGTGTGCCGCTCGTAAGAGCGGCTGTGTCTCTCCTCCGCGTAGGAGAGAAGCGTGGCGCCGACAGGCACCACGCAAGACGCGCGCGCGCACCTCGAGGCCACGATCACGCGTGCGTCTCGAAACGCGCGCGTGCGCCTCGAGGCCACGAGGCGCACGAGCACACGCAGTGCGAGGTCACGCGCGCGCGTGCACCTCGAAACCCTGGCCGCGAGGCGGCAGGGGAACGGACTACGAGATGCAGCCGCACCGTAGTAGCCGCGTGTTCGTTTATGGTTGAAAATCGATCGACAGGACGTTGTGCATCAAGATTCGCTGCCTAAATGTCGGTCGTCGCAAGAAGGCTGTCGGTCGAGAGGTGACTGAGAATGGACTTTCGTACTTCAGAGACCGTTGCGACACGTACGCGAGCCGTAGAGCCGCAAGGACCTCGACGTCAAAGGATATGCGAAAATCGTACAACAGAAGGACGTTCAAAAAATCGTGGGCAGTACAACCCACGCCGATCCCTAGCAGTAAAGTCGTCCAGTAGATACTGATCGATCGTCGAACGACCATAGACACAAACCGCAGGCAAATAAAATCACATACAGGGCAGGAGCTTAAAGCACATTGCAAACCCACATAGTAGCTAGCACTAGGCACTCT